AAACACAGTCCATTTTTGCGCCGAATCCAAACAGAGAACGTTACGGAGAGAGAATCGGGAGGTCCATTATTGGCGTTGCCATGCAGTTTGATGATTTGAGATGGTTGGGTCGTTCATATGAAGGCGTGTTTGCCTACCTTGAAGGGAACCCCATTTCAGAATCAAAGGAAGAATCAAGAATCTTGCGGATTGCATTTGTTGGTTGAAACCGGGGAAATTGTGCGAGGTCCTCAACTATAGGAAACACTCCTGACCATTGTGAAACACAAGCAAGACCGCAAGCCCCATGCATGAGGTCTTGTCGCTCGGGCTTTATCGTCGGAGAATCTCGCTTGCTAAGTTTCTGTCCTCCCCAGAGGTAAAAGTGGCTGCTTGTCACTTGCTCATACGCCAAGGTGGCAGCTGCCAAAACAGCTCGTATCACACCCCGGGATTGCCCAAACAAAACCTGGTTCCTGGGCACTATGTTGGGTAATTTCCATTGAGGAATTGCCAGTAATGTTGGAAGCCCTTGAACACATGCAGCACGTCCTTACGCCAATCCATTGGGCTTAACCTCTGGCCCAACTGCAAGTAAGTCAACCACAAACCCTTTCATTACTCCGGGAATCAACCGTGAGGCTTGCGCTTGAGCCTACTGGAAGGAACCTAGGGCGGTTGTTTGGGACCGTGACTTGCAAATCCGGATTCGTTGACTCCGTCGCGCGGTTGTTTCCGAAAAGTATCGTAGAACTCAAGCGTTCTGCGACGACCTATTTCTATGTGAAACCCGAATATGTTTCTTCAGCCCAAATGGGGAACCTCTAGAATGAGCAGTTGCCCTTTGGCTTCCATTTCAGGCCCTCTGCCAAGACGAAAGCGATTGTCATGTTTACCTCGAACGTTCGACTTGCTTGCACGGGTCTGAAGCTGGAATTGAATCTGTGTGACGATAACTCCAAAACCCAATTTTTCAAAGGGATCGCAAGTGAAGGACCTTCACGGTGAGCTCGCTTTACCAGGTGAGCAGATTGAATGCACTAAAAATGGCAACCCGCCCCCAAGCTCCCCTTCCTCCCGCGCTTTCAAGGCGCTGCATGGGCCATATGTGCTGGCGCTTGGTCCCCTCGGCGCCTCACTTCGGCAAAGTGATTTGGCCTGAATTCGTGCAGCCTCATTCCAAGCCAGCTAGGGGGAACAGCACACCTGTTGCTTGGCAGCTGACTTTAATGGGAACCTCTCCAAAGCACGAACAAAACGGCACCACCGGAGGTGAACCCTTCCTAAAGAGGGAATATGAATATATATATATATATGTCCAGATAGCATAAGGAAAACACCAAACACAAGGTTTCTCAGTGTAAGGGAGCCCCACTTGGCGTGGGCGACAAAGGCGAAGTGATTTCTGTTGTTTCTGCTAATGACTCAAAATAGGTATATTGTGGAACCGCAAAAAGCTTCTGCCACCTGTTGGCGTCCCTTTGAAACAACCCCAAGAAGACGCTCTCAAAAAAGTACGTCCAAAGTACTCTTCAAACAACAACACTAGAATAATGAAAGAAACGTAAAATCAGGCATCGTCAGGCAGCCAGGCAAATGACCTACATCATGGCGAGCTCGCCATTAAACAGGTTGATAAATTCGCCCTGGTTTCAGAGGAAACCACATGCACCCCTTGCCATGAACTTTCCTCGTGGCTTCTCGATGCCATGAGAAACCAGCACTTGCTGTTGTCAGAACTGCTCCAAATTCACAGAAAGCATGGTGGGTTCACAGTGGAAAAGCCCGTCTGGCGCGAAGAGGGCGGAGGAACTTTGAACCTCAAGGCCACCAATTCCTGCAGAAACCCCTCGACCCCGTTGGCACGATAAATTTGGTTGGCAAAGGGAAACGTTCTGCTTTTCAAGGTGTGATCACCTGTTAGGAACTGCCCAGATCATGTGGGAAATTGAAGCTTTGGGGCTTGAAATGAGGCAAAATCAGGAAACATCAACATTGTGGATTCGCTTTGGGCAAGTCAGGCGGTTGGAGTAGAATCCACCCTCAAGTTAGTGGTCCGCTGAAAGTTTCGCGGGATATGTTATGAGTCCTGTCTACGGCCAAACTGCCAAAGACTTGTCCAAGCACGGTCACCTTTTGCGGCCCGTGTTGTGTGTTGCATGGATAGCGTCCGCCGAGTGAAGCAAAGGCTCCCTCTATTTTCCTCAAACGGGGGCGGGACAAAAAATGAAACGCGAAGTCCGCTACGCCGGGTCGCGATCCGCCGCTGCCTGAGCTGCAAGCAGAGCTCTCGCATGTTTTGAACCCGCTCCCTCCCGCCAATAAGACCCGAACAAGGCCATGTGCGGCCCAGTGAGGGGACCTCGAGGACCATCTGGGCACATTAAACAAGCAGTTCCCGAATAGCCATGCCTAGGGCTTAGCCATCAACGCCCAAAATGGCCATAGGGCCCATGTGCGGCCGGGGAGGGGGGGGGAGAAACCAAGGGCTCGGCAACACCCGGGGGTCCCGTATATTGAGGAAATCTAGCACGGTGTCTGGCTGCTGTACTTGCATCTTTTCTATGTAGGGAATCCACCGTACCAGAAGAAATAACGCACAAATGGTGCCAGGAAAGAGGCTGATATCCCTTTTGGCGATGGATGATCTAGTTCAGAATTCGGTCCTCATGATGCGTCCGAAGCGGACATGGATCTTCACCAAGCATATTCGTCGGGCAACCAATCATGGGTACCCAGGATTCACGAGGGTGTTCCACTAGAGACGGGATGATTTGCCTGGGAGTCGCCCCTCTACTTATGCTTGACGAATGGGTCAACATGCTTCAGTCACTAGCTTCCCAAGCTTTCCAGGGCCCTTTTGACCAGGCTTGCTCCAAAACCCGAGTAGAGATTGTGTTGTACCCAATGCTTGTCCAAAATGAAAAGTCCCAGAGCCAAAGCCAAAGGCCAAAGGCCACCCCGACCCAAACATTCCAGGACGCCTCGCCGGATTCCGAACTGAATAAACGCATCCGAGCTGCAATGGCGAAAGCCAGCGTCAGCAGCGCCAGCGCCATGCGAATTCTCGTTGGGCCTCTTTGGGCCTCTGATAACAAGACTGGGAACAGCCCACACAAACTCGCAAAGTCGCGCAACCTTTCGCAATGGTGAGTTATCTGGCGGAAAGCGTTCATAGAAATGAACGCACCGGCTACAAATGAATGGGCCAATGAGTGTGATGTGAATCGAAACCCAATGCGCAAATGTGCATTCTACTTGGAAGTTGGCACAAATGGCAGCAAGTTGTATGCTCGCGCTACTCGAATCTTGCAGCGGCAAGTTCCTTAAATCGCGCACGGTCTACGCCTTCGAGCAAAGAGAGCGAAAAGCGAGTGAGTGTGCGAGTATAGAATTGCCTCCACCGACTTCGGGATATACAAAACCAATGAATCCGAGCAAATGACGATGCTTCCCAGACTAGAATTGCCTCCACCGACTTCGGGATATACAAAACCAATGAATCCACGCAAATGACGATGCTTCCCAGACTAGAATTGCCTCCACCGACTTCGGGATATACAAAACCAATGAATCCTCGCAAAAGACGATGCTTCCCAGACTAGAATTGCCTCCACCGACTTCGGGATATACAAAACCAATGAATCCACGCAAATGACGATGCTTCCCAGACTGACAATAGAACACCAACGGACTTTGTACTCATCCGCGAGCCTGTTCCCCCAAGGTGAGGCTATACTTTGCCGAAACAAATCTCTACGGGTGGTTGCAAATAGCTTTTTTACATACCCCTTCTGGAAACGAGACATTCGGCGTCGTTGGTAACCATCTCTCCGAAAAATGGTATTAGTATAAGGCGGTAGCCTTAAAGAAACCAACAGGCTTGTGCTTCCACGCCTTCTCCTTTTGGCATGGGTTTGTAAAGACATCCTGTGAAAACCTGTGAAAAGGGGTCCAACTCTGGAATACAATTGTTCAGAGCAACCCAAAGGCAAAAAATGGGTGTCGCTTAGGGGGGGAACCCCTTTTTTTCCGGTCAAAGGCGGCCCAAAGGAAAACCACCATTTTGGAGGGTCCAACCTTCAAAAAGACACACCTGTATTGCCAAAGAAAGAAACTCACAAGCCGTGGCTTCTTCGAGCAATGGCTTTCAAAACGAACAAATACTTGCCCCTGCCCCGGATGGCAATTGACAAAACCTGAGGCGTTGATGTGTCCAAATACGCGGCCAAATCCTCGCCCGAGGGTAGTGCCCGGGGAAGTGCCCGAGGTAAGGGTGTTGAGACTCCTTTGAGTCAAAGCGGTGTGTATCCAAAGCCCACGGTAAGAAACGGGGCTTCGTGGCCGGCGCTTCTATTTCTGGCGACTGTTCTTTGCTGGGGGTAGCCGATTTCTGAACAAGAAACCTTGGCGTCGGCCCAGGATTCGTTCTCAGCCCCAAGTGTCAGCCCTCAAGGGGCTTGCGTGGTTTCCTGGAACTGATTCTTAGCTCAGGCAGAGACGCGGCATTCCCAGCATTGCCAACATCGTTTGCAAATATATCCAGCCAGTTGCTTGATTTTGCTTATTATATGATTTATGGTTGCTGGTGATGCGGACAAACAGACAGACAAACAAACAAACGAACGAACGAACGAACCAACCAACGAACCAACGAACCAACGAACCAACGAACCAACCAACCAACCAACCAACCGACCGACCGACCGACCGACCGATCGACCAACCGACCCACTGACCGACCAACCGACCAACCGACCGGCGGCTCTACGCAAAGACCAGACCTAGAAAAGACTCATCCACGAAATGGACAGGGCCAAGAAAGAGAAAAAGAAAAGCAACCGAGATGTCTTTCAATTATCCTTTCAAACACCCCAACACGGGATTCCACATCCCAAGAAAGCCTGCAATCTGGGCTTTGGTGTCATCTTGAATTTCTCTACATGATCTCAAAAAGAGCTTTCACAACTCCCCAACATGGGCTGTGGCTTTCCATTGAGTTCCCCATTTACCCACTCCAAAAGCCTCCACAAAGGATCTTGTTACGAATTCAAGGCAAAGTCAGAGCCATTCAGCTTCTCTTCTCAACTCCTGGTCACCTCTGTGGCTATGGTGTCCGCGTTGTGGGAAAGCCTCCGTGCCATCCCCATGACCACTTTGTCACTTTAAAGGGGTTTCCTGCTGGGTATCACAGAACCAGTCCAAAACAAACAAACTGACCTTGTCCACAATAGGAACAGGCAAACACAAGGGAAGCCACGACCATTTCAGGGGTCTCCGAATTTAGGCACCCTTCGTGATGGGTGAGCTCATGTTAACCCCGAGCTCGTCGCGCAATTTGCTTAGAGCAAATTTGTGTACCCACGGTTTTGATTGTGGCTCATTTGGGTATGTGTGAACATTGGGGCGGTTTATTTGGTTGCCCTTCAACACCACCTGGACAAGGTGGCCCCCAGAACAAACACTGGTGTCTTTCTCCGTGACATCCGCTCGCTTTCGCGGTCAGCGCGTCAGCGAGTCAGCTAGTGTCCCGCCGTTCTTCGGCGGCGGCGGATTCTGATTTGGCAGGGGGCAGCCTGCTTCTTTTGTTTGTCCTTGCTACTCTTGCTGGGTGCTCAGTAGGGAATGAGAAATGGAGTGGCCCGTATATAAACCATCAAGCTGGTGGTTTCCTTTAAGGGGACCAAAGCCTGGGTTCATTGCCACACTCCCCACTTATCGCACCAACAAGTAATGTTCACCTAAGGGACAAACAATGAGGGGGTTGTGCCATTCTCGTTGAGCTTCGGAGAAAAATCGGGGGGGGGGGGGGAAAAATACATAAAATGGCACTTCTAACATCAAACCCAAAAAATCAAACAGCATACAACAAAATCAGCAAAATTCACAGAAAACAAGATAAGAACCACCAAGCAACTCAAAAACCAGAACAACCCCCAACAAAATATTTAATCAAAGCATAAAACATTAAATAATTCAAACAAGCATACCAACAAAACAGCAAAAATAAAAACCATCAAAGAACACAAACTCAAAAACACACAAAATCAAAAACAAAGCAACATACCATCAAAAAATATCAGAAGAGTATCAAACAAAATAAAAAACAAACAGCCAAAGCACGAAAAAATCAAAAGAGCATGCCAAGTTCAAACAACGCACTTTGAAAGAGACAAGCAAATCAACATTAAACAACCATTAAAACATGTCACTTCTGTTTCCTGATATAGTTGGTCATCAGCGACTTCGGCGTCAATCAACACCAAGTGCCCTTTCCCGTGCTGAGTCTTCAGACTGAGAGAAAGTGAGAGAGTGGAGTTGGAACTTGACCATTCTTGACAGCATTTTTGCTCAGATTTCTTTTGTTCTTTTAGTGCTCTAGTCATGACGCTCATTTTCTTCAATGATGGAGGCAAGACAACACCCGTGTTTGTGAGTGCTGGCGATTTGTTGATGTCTGGAGTTTCCCCCACGGAGTGGGTGCCTGACAGATTTGACTTATCAAAGTTGTCTCGCGACCACTTGCTCAAAATCATCAATGATGCCAGCATGCAACACCAGCTACCAGAGACAGGAAGAAGAAGGATGACCTCATCAACTTCATTGTTCAAAATTGGGTGTCCATTTTGGACAACATGAAGAGAAGTGCAATATTTGCACGTCGCCGACATGAACCGAAAAAGAAGGCGGTTGGCATTCAGGTTGAGACCGAGGAGTTGGAAAAACCAGAGCAGGAACAAGAGGAGAGCGAAGAAGAGGAACAGGAGGAGAGCGAAGAAGAGGAACAGGAGGAGAGCGAAGAAGAGGAGCAAGAGGAGAGTGAAGAGGAGTATTGCGAGAGCAACATCAGTTTTGACTCTGAATACTTGAGGGATGCCAGTGATTTTGACATGCCGCCGTTGGAGTTGTTCTATGTCAAGGTACCAAGGAATCATGGGGAAGAAGTTTTGACTTTCAAGCTAGACCCTGAGAACATCAACGTCATCAACTTCAAGCGTTTGATTTCTGCTAGGACAGGAAGCAAACTGACGCAGGACATGTTCTCGCTTCACTATGAAGGAAAGAACCTCTATGACCCCTACAGGATGCTTTCAGAGTTCATCACCAAGGACAACAAGACTTTTCGCATTGCTGTCAAGCACCGAGGAGGTATGCCAGTCATGCAATGGCATCTCAAACAGGCAGAGGCGCTCAAGCAACTCAAGCACAAGGTCATCAAAAATATCACAAAGAAGGATGAGACAACCATGCCTGTTTTGCTCGATGAACCGCCACACTTCAAGCAGATAATGGAGGAAATCAGCAATGCCATTTCCCAAGTCAAGATGGTAAAAGCGGAGGGAGTGCCAATAGTCAAAATTGGTTTGGAGAAAGCGACAGATGCTGAGTTGGCAGAGATAAAGGAGTTGGCGGAGAAGAAAGGCAAGAAGAACACAGGAGCAGAAGAACGCATTGCGCCCATCATGTTCATCCTCTTCAAGAAGATGAAGGAGTTTGACCGTCAGATTGAAAAGATGCATGACATGCTGAACTATGCCCTTGCCGAGATGCTTAGCATGTTTTGTGACGAGTTCAACCAGAGATATGGCAAGGGGGCAGTCATTGACATGGAGCGCTTTTCGTCAGTGCTTGACAAGGAGATTGAGAAACGCGAGAATGAGCACCAAAGAATTCGAAATGCTGAAAGGCAAGTCAACGCAATACCTGACGATGCTGACAATGTCTGTGTGATTGCATGAGATACTCAAATGTGCATAGGATGCTCTCCCTACCTCTCGCCCCGAAAGCAAGTCAAGAGTCGCCCTAAAAAGGGGGAACAGTCGCCCCAAAAAAGGGGGAACAGTCGCCCCAAAAAAGGGGGAACAGTCGCCCCAAAAAAGGGGGAACAGTCGCCCCAAAAAAGGGGGAACAGTCGCCCCAAAAAAGGGGGAACAGTCGCCCCAAAAAAGGGGGAACAGTCGCCCCAAAAAAGGGGGAACAGTCGCCCCAAAAAAGGGGGAACCCCACCTAATTTCAAGAAAAAATGCTGTTTTTTCAGTCAGGCAAAAGAGGTAGGGGTCCGAACAGAAATGAGCACAGCACAACAGAAACCCATCCGAGAGCGCTTGAAAAAATAGTGCCACATGTGCTTTTGCTTACAAATGTAGAGCGCTATGTCGTGCCTTTGCCTTCTCATTTTCTTCTGCGCAGGTATTTCATTGACATCCTCAACTACACGACTGGCCTCTATCAGGTAAGGACTGGATGGGCTCGGTATGTGTTTGGTTCTTTTCTGGGTGGGTTGGGGGATATATCTATATGAATATTGGTGTTTTCTAAATTTGATAAACTAAGGATTATCCCATTAAAAATCAATACTTTTCAAATTTTAGAATTCCATTTTTTACTGTTTTGTCGTTGGATGAACCTAGAAATTTCAAGTTTCAAGCCCAACCCCAAACTCAAAAATCCTTAATCCGTCAAACTCACTAAGATTTCACAAATTAATTCGCTAGGTATTTTATATAAATCTTCCTGCTTATGTATTGTTGGATTGTCTCCCCATTTTTCCTTAGTGCCCGATGGTAGCCGTTGTGCAGTTTCAATATGTTTGTTATTCCTGATGTTGCCACAATCCTTTTTACATAAATCTTTAGGTTTCCAAGTTGTAATGTTATTCCATAGCCTAGTGCGTTTTCTGTAAGGCATTCCATATTTACAATAATCTACATCTTTAAAATCAAACTCATCCATAAACTCCTGATTTTTTAATAATCCAGTTTGAGGATTTTCGATTACGAAATACTTAGGATTGAAATATTTGATAATTTCAATAGTTTTTGAGACAATACTATTTGCATATTCGATATTCCTAATTCCCCTAGTTTTTGCAACACTATATTCAGTGCATGGGGGACTACTCCAAATAAAATCAAAATGGTTCCTATCAAATTGTTTATAATCCCATTTCAAAATATCAGTATTTATATCAGCATTTTTCAAATCCAATGAAATAACATTGAAACCGAGCGACTTTGCAACAAGTCCAACACTGCCTGTTCCGCTAAACATCTCTAATAAGTTCATTATTAAAGATATTTAGATAATATTATCTATGAGTAAATACAACTTTATGAATAAAGTTGCGTTTCCTCGTCATAGTCAATTTGATAAAATGTCATAGTTGAAGCCTTCGGTTCTTTAATTTCTTTGTTATTAAGTTTGTTTAAAAAAATATTTCTTTTATTTTTATATTCCCCATTGGTTCTATCTACTTCTTTACTTTGATAACTGTTTGTTACTGGTTTCTTCTTTTCCATTTCTTGCAAGATTTCTAAAATATTCTTATTCTGTTCTAAAACCTTGTTCAGTTTTTTAACAATCTTTTCTAATCCTTCATCCATGTAAATATATATATTATATTATAAAATAAAACTTTTAAAACTAAACTTTTATTTTACAAAATCATATATCATTATAAGTCAATTCAAAATTAGTTATTGTGTAACTCGTTAAATTATTATTCAATTTACCAATTAAATTACAAATAATAGTTTTTCTAAATTTTGAATATTTATGAAACTTTTCAATATTATCTGTAATATAAATTATTAAACATTTAATACATTCAAACACATTAACAACATTAATGTTACTATTTTTGTAAATATTATTCATTTTTCTCAATGTAATTTCATAAAACTGAATAGCATTTTTATTATCATAATTAGCAATAAATCTTAAAGTATATGAATATATTCTTTTACAATAAAATTTTAAATCTGATTGTTCAAATAAATCAGCATAATTAATAGAATTATAAAACATGTTAAAATCAATTTTGCTATTTCTAAAGTCATTAACAAAATTAATTAATATATCATTTTCGTTATATTCTTCAATAAAATTATTTAATTTCAATTCTTTTACATCAATGAATTTAATAATATTATTTATAACATCTTGCATTATAAATAATAATAGAAATAATTTTAACTATTATTTTTTCATCATTCTTTCTCAGGTGTAAATAACCTACCAAATCCACTTTTGAAGTTTTCTACCCAACTTTCTTCAACTGTGCTACCGTCAGCATCTTTCTTTTTTACTGTATGTACTGTATGCATGTTTCGACCACATGAACACGGCCAACATTTAACTTTGACATGTTCTTTATCTAACTCTAATTCATTTAGTGGTTTAATTGCTTGACCGCATTTATCGCATTTGACACATTCAATCTCTTTTTGTTTCTCTTGCTTCTTCTTTGGAGGCATTTATATTAATATTTACATTTTTATTTTTGATATATTGTATCACAAACTTAATTAATTCTAAAATAAAATAACATATTTTTTTACATCTATTATCAGTTATAACAACTTGTTCTATATTCTCTACTTCATCTATTATATTGATATAATCTAAATCCATATAAAATAATCAATATAAAATATTTTCTAAATAACTTTAATATTATTTTATTATGTCTGATGTTCCAATAATAAAACCAATAAATATAACTGATTACGATTTCAAACAATCTAAATATGAACATGTGCCAAAACTACCTTTTCGCTCAATTGTTGTTGCTTCATCAACGGGTGGCAAAACAGTTTTAATTCAAAACCTTATCCTAAATGTTTATAGGGACTGCTTCGCCCGTATATTCATTTTTAGCCCGTCGGTTCATAATGACCCTACCTTCGTTGAAGTCAAGAAATATCAAAAAGATAATATGAAGGTTGATGATGAAAAAGAAAAGTTATATTATGACACCTACCAACCTGAAGAACTGGAAGAAATAATTAACACACAAAGAAAGATAATTCATTATATGAAAGAACAGAAGATGAAGAAACTACATTCAATTCTTATTGTTATTGATGATTTTTCAGATGACCCTAAATTTTTAAGATATTCAAAAATATTACACGGTTTATTTACGCGCATGACATCTCTTGCATATGTAGTCTTCAAAAATATAAAACAATCGCCAATATAATTCGTGTCAATGCCAGTTCATTATACATTTTTAGATTAAAGAATATATCAGAGTTAATGAGTTTTATTGAGGAAAACTCGGCCATCGTTGATAAAGAGCAACTGTTAAATATGTATCATAAAGCGGTAGATGATAAGCCCTACTCCTTCTTTTATGTTAATATGAATTCCAAAGATGTTAATAATATGTTTTATGTTAGATTTGAGAAAGCTTTTAAAATAAAATAAATCTATTATATATTATAGAATGTTAAAAATGATTCAAGAAAGAATATATGAAGAACCAGTAAGGTTTTTCGGTAGCGATATACCAAAACAGATTCAGGAATACCGAAAGCAAAGACTACAACAATTAGTAGAGTGTGAATGTGGTGAAACTTTTTTAATGAAGGATGCTACTAACCATATTGAAAGTGATTGTCATATTACTTTTAAGGAAGAAGAAAGAATGAGGAAAGAATTAGAAGAACATATTCGTATAGAAAATGATACTGATAGTGATAGTGATAATTATAGTGATGGTGGTTCAACAAGAGTGCCAGATGATTAAAAAATAACTAAATATGTTAGATTTGAAAAAGCATTTAAAATAAAATAAAGGTTTAAATATATTATGATATTTTATGATTTACCATTAGACATTAAAAACCTTGTATTATCTTATAATTTAGGTGATGTTAGATTATTAAAAATAAAAAATAATAGTATTATTAAAAATTATATTAATAAATTTAAACCAGTGTATAAGTCTTACAAATTAAAGAATTCACAGTATTTTGAAATTGATAATATCATTATGAAAAATATTATCAAAAACGGCATATCATATATTTTTAACTTAAGTGAGTTAGATAAATTACATCAAAAACATAAACCATTAAAATTATTAATTGAATATGATATATTTGTTACATCTACCTCATTTACTTTTTTTAATCATCTTCGTAATCGTACTTTAACATCAAATAATTTATTTGATATTTATTATTTTCTTAATAAAGACCTTTATAAAACTAATTTAGTGTATAGGGAATGTGGCTAATTTTATTTCATTACAAGTGAAAAAAATAACTATTAAAGTCATCAATTAAGAAAGACAAAGTTTTACTAGTAAATCTTATTCATATTTTTTTTAATTAATAATGTTAATGAATCATATTAATATTATTAATTTAAATCAATGAAGCGTTGCATAAATTCAACGCAGGTAATTTATATAATAGTTTGTCCGATTTTTGATTTTCTAACTTTTCTATTCTCGTTACACATTCTTGAATAGATTTTATTATTAAAGTATCCGCTCTCGTTTTTTCATCTACTCTTAAATTCTTAATGTCTTCCATACTGTTATTTTCTTCGTTTTTGCTTTGACCAATACCCATTATATATTATTATTTAGATTTTTCTTTTTTCAATTCCTTAACTTCTTTTTCAAGTTTATCTATTTTATCATTTAATTCTAATACTGCTTTATGAACCAACACGGGTAAAACTAAATAATTCAATCCTAAATACTCTTTATCTTTACATACAATATTTTCAAACTCTTTAGGAATTGCTTTTAATACTTCATCTGCGATATATCCTATATGAGTTTTACCCCCGTCATTTCTATCGTGTCTCTTAAACTTCTTTGGCTTAAATTTCTTAATAATATTCATACAGTTAGATTTGACATTGTCTATGTCATATTTCAACCGCGAATCAGATGAATCAACAAACGTTCCATTAATGGTTACTGTCGTTGCTGTTAAGT